GGGATTAAAAGTGTGTGCCACCAACACCAGGCGGTTTTTATGGAATGCCAACAGGTGTGTCTTCAGCATCTATATGAGTTTCTTGTGCTTTTTCTTCAGCTTCTTTTTTGATTGTTTTGTTCTACTCTGATTTGTTTGGTTCTGCTTAATCTTATTATTATTATTCCTTAGGTGCCTGTTTTCTAAGGAGAGTCAGGAAGGGTGTGGATGCCATTGTGAGGGGAGGTAGGGAGGAATAAGGGGAAGAGGAATCATAGTAAGAATTTATTATATGAAAAAAACCCATTTTCAGTAAAAGACAAAAAAAAAAAAAAAAAAAAAGGCTAACAACAACAAAAAAGATTTGACTTATTGACTCCGTGGTTGTGAACTGGCATGTCCAAAGACTGGGAACTGAGGCAGGGTGGATGCTGTAGTCCTGAGCTGGTGTTTTCATCAGGAAGCTGCAGACTTGGTTGCTAATACCTTCACTTGAATGAGTGCATGGAAGGGCTCCTTTTCTGGAGCCAGTCGGTGGGAGATACTAACCACGTGTATAAAATACTTCTTAGCAACACTGGGTTTGTGTTTGCCTAAACCGCTAAATGTTGTAGCTAAACTGACACCTGAAATTAGCAGTTGCAGTGCCCCCCTTAATAACAGGATTCTAATCAAGACCCCAGAGAGGCAGTTTTATATCCACGAGTTGACAACACCTTTGCCACAGATAGCACGGAGCGCTGAAAGAATGTGGGTTAGCAGGACCTGTGCATCCTGTGGACGATTCCTCCACACATGTTTTCAGTTTCTTATGAAGTTAATCACTTGCAGCTGGAGATGGTGACTCCAGCCTCGAATCCCAACACTTGGGAGGCAGAAGCAGGAGGATTGCTGCAGGCTAGCAGCCAACCTAATCTATATAGCAAGTTCTAGGATAGCCAGGGCTATGCAGTGAGACTCTGTGTTACGCTGGTAGGCAGACACATAAGCACGCACACACACACATGGAGTTCTCTCCCATAGGACCTCACTATAGGAATGCCAGTGGATGTGTAGTATTTACAAGAATGTAACCGTTTATAAAAGTGTGAAGAGTAAAATAACATTAGCCTGGACACAAACCAGGCATTAGAAATGGAGTACTGAGTTTCAGCATCAGGTAATCTTAAAAAGCATAGCATGATGCCACTTGTAAAAGCCCATCACAGTATACAATAACCTGTTGTTTGGGCCTGTCCATCTATCCAGACAGGCACCTAAAGAAAGAGGAAAAGGACTGTCCAGATTTGCTTGGTGGTGGCCATCTTTATTTACTCAGTCGTCTTGCTGACCCAAGAGCCTGTTTTAAACAAAGTTATATCTGTGAAGAGCTTAGGGAACCTGTGCTTTAGGTTTGTGTCGTTCGTTCGCATGGGAAGGAGCAGAGCAGCTGTGCTTGGTTTGTGTCATAGTCAGGGTTTCTGTTACTGTGAAGAGACACCATGGCCACAGCAACGCTTATTGTAAGGAAAACATTTAATTGGGGGGGCTCGTTTACAGTTCAGGGGTGTTATGGGATAATCTTTTTGTACATTGTGAATATGTGTCTTTGCCAAGGCATCTTCTGATTGGTTTAATAAAGAGCTGAATGGCCAGTAGCTAGGCAAGAGAGGATAGGCGGTACTTCCGGGCAGAGAGAGGAACTCTGGGAAGAAGAGAGGTGGAATTTGCCAGTGAGATGTGGAATAAGTTGGATGTACAGTGTGGAGGATAGTTCACAAACCACAAGCCACTTGGCAGAACATAGATTAATATAAATGGGTTAATTTAAGTATAAGAGCTAGTTGGGAGCAAGCCTAAGCTAAAGCCAAACTTTCATAATTAATAAGATGTTTCTATGTCATTATTTGGGAGCGTGGTCCAAAGAAAGACCTGTTACACAGGTTTGGTTCATTATCATCATGGTGGGACATGGCAGCATGCAGGCAGACATGGATGGTGGAGAAGTGGCTGAGAGGCTTACATCTTGCAGGCAACAGGAAGTTGACTGACACACTGGGCAGTATCCTGAGCATAGGAAACCACAAAGCCCACCCTCACAGCCACATACTTTCTCTAACAAGGCCATACCCAGGCCAACAACACCACACCTCCTAATAATGACATTCCGTATGAGCTTGTGGGGGCCAGTTGCATTCAGACTGCCACAGTTGGTGAGGGTGCTACTGGCTGTATACTGCAACGAAAGCTGTTTATCCTTTGCCGTAAACCTCTTATGAGGCTTTCATAAAGGTTCAGGGGTGTTAGTGAACCTGTCCTGAACACACTAACATCTACCTAAGCTTTCAGGCTGACAGGCTCCTTTGCTGTAAGGATTTTGTAAATGGTGCTGCTGAGCAAAGTTGTGTGGGAGGAGGACACTCACACAGCCAGGTCAGCTCCAGGATGCTGTAGATTCAGTCCTTCCAGGCCTGTGTGGCAGAGCCTAGGGAAGTGTTGGCAAATGCTTCTAGGACTCTCTGTCAGGTCTGAAATTTCTCCTTTGGTCTCCTTGCTGAGACATAGAGGGAGGGTTCACCACCAGGGCAAAGAGAAAGGTCGGTGGCTCTTTCTCTCTTGCAAACTATGTAAGGCTTCCCGAGTAGCAGACAGTATCCCATACCCGATGTGATTAGAAGTACAGATGTCCTGGGAATAAGATTTCTAAGTTGCAGAATGCATCTTTGGTCCTGAAGCTTCCCTTAGGTAATTCCCTTGGCTAAAGGAAAGGCACGGCATGCCATTTGTTTACAGATACTTGATAACGCGCTGAGTGGTATCGCTTTTCTTTATCTAGCACTCAACAGCTGTGAACCAGCCAAATGAAAGATTAGAGTCTGTGCCACCAACAGAATACACTTGATCCCTCCAATAAAGCTGTCTCTGTGAAGTGTGGTTGTGCAATGGAGAAGTTAGGATTTTCTTAGCACCGTGGTCGAAGTTTTCCTAAGTCTGAAAAAACACCGAGCATTTAAGATAAACCACACTAGCATCTGAGCTGCTTTATTTAGCAGACTGTTTTCACAAAACTGATGTGTATTTTTAGGCATTTATGACACGCTTCTTAACAGGCCATACAATGGTCAACTTCACCTGTCTGTTTGGTGTGACCGATGATTGTCGTATTTTCACCCAGTTTATGTTTTTATAATTTGCCTATTTTTTGCTAAACTCTTCTTTCCCCTTTGCATTGGATTCAAAGGTAATCCCAAATTTTCCTTTTCTAGCTTTTTGAAATTTTATGTAGACTGGTGTTTGTTTGCATGTCTGTATGTCTGTGCACCATGTGTGTACTTGCTACCTACCCACAGAGGCCATAAGAGGGGGCATCTTTTGAACCCCTGGAACTGGGATCACTAATGGTTATGAGCCGCTGTGGAGGTGCTGGGAACCAAGCCTGGGTCCTCGGGAAGAGCTCTGAGCCTTCACCATAGCCCTCAGAGACTTTGTAATGTGTGGCTGTCCTGTTCTTTACCTTCTCTTCCTAGGTTGCTCTTAACTATACAAATTGTAATTGTAGCAAATTTTAACTATTAATGGTTACTTGATGATGTACTCCTTTGGAAGTTTATAGTGGGTGGAACGAGGGTGTGTTTCCTGGAACCTCTCAGGATCCACACTCACAAGTTGCTGAAATCACTCACTGTACCTGAGTTCCTGCAGCTCAGGGTTTCTGACCAATTTTTTTTTTAAAGTCATACATATGTATGTGTATGCATATTCATCTCTCTGTGTGTCCGTGTACATACAAATACATGTATGGAGGCCCAAAGTTGGTATCATGTGTTTTCCTTGATGCCTCTCCACTCTGTTTATCAAGACAGAGTCTCTCATCTCTCGCTGGACCCAGAGTTCGCTTTTCTGGCTAGTCAGTTTGCCCCAGGGAGTTGGCTGCCACCTGCCCATCTTAGACATGGGTTCTGGAGATCAAAACTCTGGTCCTCACAACAGCCTGATAAGCATTTTATCTGTGGAGCCATCTCCTTAGTCCCAGGTTTTCTGATTTGTCATTTAAGTAAATCTAGTACCTTCTACCCACTAAAAGCTAGATGAGAACTAATTATAATAATTGCAGTGATAAGAACTCACTGAGTTAAACACTTCAGTACTGATATCTGTGTTTTCTTCACATGCATTTCTTACTTCGGATGGGTTGCTTGTCAAAATCCCACCTGTATAATAATCTTGAGTGCTTTGTATCTGTTAAGAATTGTGTGATTTGTACCCACCCAGGGACACCACCCTGGTCAGTGTTGCATGGGGAGACTACGTCTCAAAAAAGTAGGCAGAAAAATTTTCAGTACCACATGTTAATTCAAAACAAATCCTATTCACTTTGATGTGTACTCAAATTCCTATCTCATACAAAGTGATACAGGCAAAATCTAAAAGTAGAAAATAAGTTCCAACATTGTATGCTGAGAGGAGCCGACTTCAACCTGTACTGTTTCTGCTACATTGTTTTTATAAAAACATATAGTTTAAATTTAGTTATAAATTTAAAATCTACAATTTACTTAATCACAGTACATACAGTATACATTTGTTTCTTCTCTGTGTTTGTTACAAGCATTTATGGGTATATTTCCTGCCTAAACAGCAGCATATGGAATAATTTAATATAAATAGATAAGGGCATGATGGCATATGAGGGCGCATTCTGTGGGAAAATGTGAGGAAAAGCTTCCTCAGAGCATTGGTGGTGGGATTTCAGTGTGACCTTAGATGGCATGGGCTTTAGTGACTAGTTCACCCATGCTAGATCCAGTCCAAGTGTGAGCCAAAGTGCAGAGTGAGGGTGCAGGTTCACACCCGGTAGTAAGTGCTCAGTTTGAGTGTTAGATAGGGTGTGTTGGGAGACTGCAGTGTGGAGGGGAGATGGCAGCATCCAGGGACAGAGTGTGACAGTGTGACGGGGGAGGGTGGAGGTCAAGCTGGGTCAGCCGCTAACCACTAACAGGACTGATGTACTTACTGACTTTTCATGGCTTTGTATCTTTCAGGAGGTTCATGACTTATTACAGGACTATGAACTAAAGTATTGCTATGTGGACAGGAATAAGCGAACAGGTGAGCCTGCCTTCCCTTCCAAGCGCTTAATCTTGTTTTGATTTTGCATAAAGCTACTGTAGAGCAGGGAAGCTTTGCTGTCTTTTCATCTGTCTTTGTTGTCAGGGCCTTTGCAGGTGCATCCCACCACCAGGCTCTATTCTCTCCCACCTATGGAATTCCTAAGTGTGAAATCCTACCAGTATGACTCACCAGGGTTACTTTCTGAGAACAATATTAATGTCCTGAACTTTAACCAGTAAACAAATACAGTGTAACTGGATGTGAGATTTTTAACAATGAATGTTAAATGTAATGTTCTTCCAGGGTGTGGTGTGCTTCTATCTAATTAATATGTTACTGGGTTCTGTGAACACGCACTGTGTAGCTTGACCTTTAGTTGGACAAATAAGGAAACTTGCTTAATTTTTTTCTGAGTATTAGTTTCATATCTGTGAGATCAGAACTCCATACTTTTATGGGCATATGATATATAAAGGTGTATGAGCATTTTTTTAGATGATAAGATACAGCATGGGTGATGATAAACTGCTATATATATGTGTATTCCATTGCAAATCATTTATCTTGAAAGCTGGGGGCTACAGCTCTGTGTGAAGCATGTAACCTAGCTTGTGCAAGGGAATGGGTTTGATCCCAGCATTTTCTCTCAAGGAATAGCTAGAGCCTTAATGTTTATTGCTGAATTAAAAGCACCCCCCCACACACACACACCCTTCAAAAACAAAAACAACAACAACAAAACAAGACAGAAAAAGCCTCCCAGATGCAGACACCCTCCAATTCCCTGACTACATTTCCCACCTGGGGGAAGCGCTTAGGACTCTGCCTGTGGAGTAGAGTACGGTCATCCCTACATTGTTCAGGTTCTTTTGGGCATGAGATACTCTTTTGTTGTCCCTCCTTGGGGTCGTGAGAGGACACGTGTCTTTTCATAAATAAAACGATAGTGGATGTACATGTGTTCCTTTAGATGGTGGTTTTAGTGCCAGCATATGATTTGATGCCCCCAGACTAGATTACTTGGCTTAATTTGATTGGTCTCACGGCCCCTCCCACTTCCTCTTTGGAAACCTCACATTTGTGACTCTCAATTGAATATCTTATATCCCTAATTGGAATCTGAGCACATTGTTGAGCAACAGTGTTCTTCCAGCAGCTAATCTGTGACCAGACATACCACTGAATAAATAAGAAGGACTTGATTGCCCAGGGCAATGGGGTAGAGTGAGCACAGAGATCCAGTGGCTTGGAGCTTCTAGGTGTTTGAATTTGGGTCTCATGAATATTCTACTGACAGATAGTTATAGTTTTCCTTAGTATTAAAGATAAGTTACTTAGACTTTAGACACACAAAGATAGAATAGATGATGAAATATTTTCTTCAAATCTTGCTAAATGTTAATGGACTAAATGTTGTTAACTGTGATTGTTACTTGATAACTGTTGTATAATATATTTTGCTATGTTAAGGTTAAAACCCTTCTTTTTATTTAGACAGAAAAGAGGAGATGATGGGAGAGGTCATTCTGTATGTTTCTCATACTGGTTAATAATAAAGCACTGTTGGCCAATAGGAAAGGAAGATAGGAGGGACTAGGAGACAAGGAGGAAATAGGAAGAGGTAGGGAGGAGTCAAGATGGAGAGTCTGAAGAAAGCAGTATGCCGCCAGCTCCCTGGTAAGAGAAATACATAGATCAGCAGAAATGGGTTAATAATTAAGACAGAGCTAGCCAATAAGAAACAAGTAACAGGGCCAACAGCATTGTATCAAATACAGAGTCTCTGTGTATTATTTGGGGCTGGCGGCGTGGCAGTGGGACCAGACAGGCAGCGGCAGGCAGAAAAACAATACTCTTACATTCTACCAGGAAGAACAGTAGAGACTGCTGTCTTTCAGTTGTGAGCAGAGGAAGATGTGGCAAAAGGAAGTGGAAGGTGAGTTCAGACAGGTGTGCAGACTCTGGAGAGAGTGCTCAGACAGGTGTGCAGACTCTGGAGAGAGTGCTCAGACAGGTGTGCAGACTCTGGAGAGAGTGCTCAGACAGGTGTGCAGACTCTGGAGAGAGTGCTCAGACAGGTGTGCAGACTCAGGAGAGAGTGCTCAGACAGGTGTGCAGACTCTGGAGAGAGTGCTCAGACAGGTGTGCAGACTCTGGAGAGAGTGCTCAGACAGGTGTGCAGACTCTGGAGAGAGTGCTCAGACAGGTGTGCAGACTCTGGAGAGAGTGCTCAGACAGGTGTGCAGACTCTGGAGAGAGTGCTCAGACAGGTGTGCAGACTCTGGAGAGAGTGCTCAGACAGGTGTGCAGACTCTGGAGAGAGTGCTCAGACAGGTGTGCAAGAGGACATAGGGAACAAAAGGGATGGTCAGGGACTTCAAGTCCCCAGCACTCCAGCATAAACTCAAAATTTTACGGGCTAATATAGACCTTACCTCGAATTTCACAGACTGTTGTTTTGTGTCTTAGGGAAAACGTTTGGTGATGTTATATGTCAGCTTGGTTGGGTTGCGGAGGGCTGTGAGGGAGTACTTGGTTGGTTTAACTGAGGGAGCACATTGCATTACCTGGGACCCTAGACTGTATAAAAAGGAGAAAGTGAACTGCGCTCTAGTTTTTGTTATACTACACTTCCTGACTGGATGCTGTGTAACCAGCTGTCTCAGGTCCTGCCATCAGGCCTTCCCTCCCATCATGAACTGTACCCCTAAACTGTGAGCCTTAATGAACTCCTTTCCTTAGGGTGTGTGCTGGCTAGTTTTAAGAGCTAAAGTCACCTGAGAGGAGAGAACTTCTGTTTAGAAAATTCCTCCATAAGACTGGGCTGTAGGCAAGTGGATGGTTCAGGAGGGCCCAGCTTATTGTGGACGGCACCACTCTATGTAGGTGGCCCCTAGTTCTATAAAAAGTGAACTGAGCAAGCCATGAGGAGCAAGCCAGTAAGCAGCACCCCTTCCTGGCCTCTGCCTCAGCTCCTGCTTTCAGGTCCTGCCCCGTTTGAGTTCCTGCCCTGCCTTCTCCAACGATGAACTGCAGTTGAAAGTGTAATTGGAGTAAACTCTTTCCTCTCCATCTTTCCTTTGGTCATGGTGTTTCATCATAGTAATGGACGCCCTAACTAAAACAGAAATTGAATTGGCACCAGGATAGTAGGGTATTGCTGTGGCAGCCCTACCTTGTTGATTTGGGGAGGGTTGTGGAAGGACTTTGGAATTTTGGATGAGAGAAGCCATTGAGTGTTCAAAGCTCGGTGAGCTGTTCTGTGGGGCCTTGGAAGATAAGAATGTTGAAAGCAATGCAAACCATGGAGGCCTGGCTTGTGAAGTTCCAGAGGGAAGTTTAAACATTACTTAAAGACTGTCAGGGCTATTGGCCTGTTTGCTGTTTTGAATTAAGATTCTGTGGTTCTGGAAGGGCTGAAGAAAGAGTGATGAACGAGAGACCATCACCATTGAAGTGAAACCTTTGCTTTACTGGCACAGTTGATGCCGGTTGGCTGGGGCTGAGGAATCAACGCTGATGAGTGAGAGACCATCGTCACTGAGGTGAAATCTTCTAGGAAGTGTTTCCTGAGAGTCAGCACTCAGAAGCAGTTTTCCAGAGGCAACCAAAGTTGTCCCTAGAGCTGGCAGCCAAACTTGGTAGAGTAAGAGTCACCCAGGTGGTATTGGTTTTGAAGGTCATGAAGAACAGCTGAGGCTTGGTGCTGTGAGAGGCCAGGAGACACATCGGTGAAGACGCAGCCTCAGTAGCAGTTGAAGGCTCAGGACTGAAGGGGATCATGCAGAGAAGCTGAAGCTTGGTACTATGATGAGATACCAGGAAAGGCTCAGTTGCAGCAAGGGAACCCAGAGTTTTGGAGATGCCAGTACCATAGGACGACCACCAATAACAGCAGAGGTGAAATGGAGCCTGCCTGGCAAGCTGTGTGCTACAGGGGACAGAGTCCCCTAGGGCAAAGCTGCCGAGGGCAGAGCTGGAGAAAGTGACCTAAGCCCCTTGGAGGAGCCCAAAATATCGTGAGTGAATCCTAGATAGTGAACACTGAGTTATTTATACTGTTGGGGTCTGGTTTTGCTTTGTTCAGATTGTGACAGTGCAGTTTCCAGGGGCCACCCTCCCTAGCCAACCAGATCAGCCGACTCAACCCAGGTGATCAACAGGGTGTCGCAGCCAGATCACCCTCACACCCTAATTTTAACAGATATGAACCCTTTGTCTCACTGATTTGCAACTCATATTTCACATGATTGATTACTTGAGGCAGGGTCTCCCTGTCTCAACTATGTAGTTCAGGATTGCCCTGAACTTATGGTCCTTCTGTCTTTGTCTCTCATGTGCTGAGATCTAGGCCAGTCAGGCTACGTCACTTTTTTTTTTTTTAAATTTCATACATTTTATTGTTTTGATGCTGAAATATCTTAGGTAGCTTTTAAAATTGTTTTATTGGGTTTGAAGGTTAAAATATTTGTCCAAGATCAGAATCGTGTATCTTTTCATTTGATTTTATCAATATAATTTGAATATCGTGGAATATTACTTTAGCTGTGAAAAGGTGTGTTACATTTGTTTATGCTGCATTTATTTAACAATGTTAGGATGTGTTTAATTATGCAAAGATGTGTTGTTGTATTTGTTTTACCTTGCCTGCCTAAGGCTCCTGATTGATCTAATTAAGAGCTGAATGGCCATTAGCTGGCCAGAGTTAATAAGTAGAAGGAGAAAGCTAGGCTTGTGGAGAACAAGAGGAGGAGGAGAGAACAAGGGAGAAAAAGGGGGACATGCCTTGGGGCAAAAAGCCAGGCAGCTGCCAGCCGGACGTGAGAAGCAATAGAAGTAAGATCCACAGAAGAAAAGTAAAAAGCCCCGAGGTAAAAACTCAATAAGGAGAAACAGGTTAATTTAAAAGAGCCAGCCAGAAAAGAGCTAAGGCTGGGCACTCAAAACTGGTAAGTCTGTGGCACAAAAGAAAAAGCCTGCTACTCCGCATGGGTTCTTTGAAGCTAACCAATCTGATGCTATCTATCGTCTCTTTAAAAGTGACAGGGATTATTGTGTGTGTGTGTGTGTGTGTGTGTGTGTGTGTGTGTGAGTGCACAAATGCCCGTTTGGTCAGACAGAGGACAACTGTGGCCGTTCTCCTCTGCCATTTGGGTCCTGTGGATGAGCTCATTCCTCAGGCTTGGCATCGCAGAGCCATGTCACTGTCTTAGTGATTTCAATACTATGAGAGTGGTGTGGGGAAAACTGCGTTCCTTCAGGCATTTTGGCATGTTTTACTGCACTTTCAGTTCCTCTGGTCCTTCCTATGAGAGTCTTTGAGATCTTTCTGGGGAAGAGATCCTGTAACCTCATTTTCCATTGATGTTTTTTAATAAAGGTATCATGAAACTTTACATTGTTGTTGAGGGTTAGAAAATACCCCAAATAAAATCCCTCAGAATATGGTGGATCTTACGGTGGAATTCTTGGTAGAATTACTCAATTTTTTATTTGAGCAGATGGCCATGAGATTCATTTAATTGAGGCTCAACATTAAAAAAGACAGTGACTTTTTTTAAACATAGTAAATTAGAATTGAAAAGTCTGGGGAGAATGGCTTAGTGTTTAAGGACATTTTCCAAGCAATCATGAGGGCCTGAGTTTGAGTGTCAAAACCTGCATCACTAGCCAGGATGGGCTCACAACGTGCTTCTTAACCATGGTCTGACCAGGAAGAGGGGGTGGGGAGGGTGGGTACTGCTGGCTGCTGAGAAAAACAAGATCTCTAGGTTGAGGGAATAGGCTCCACCTGAAGGGCTAAGGCAGAGAAGGACACTGGCGCCCTCTTCTGGGTTCATGTGCATTCACAGGCCTACCTATACATCTGCACATATACATGTGTCCGCCCCCCCCCCCCCAAAGTGGTTCCTAAACAACAAAAATCAAGAGTGCATTGAGGTTAGATTTGTTCACTGGGGAGACAGGGGCAGAGGCAGCTGAATCTCTTGAGTTTAAAATCACCTTGGTCTATATAGTGAGTTCAGGACCAACAAGTGGTAGATAGTGAGACTCTCTTAAAAAATGACATTTCATCTAATAGGAGTATATTTTGGTGATAATTTTGCTTCAGAAAACTATAGGTTTTTTGTATAGACTGAGCCTTAGGCATAGGATGTATTACTTACCATGGGTGATGGCAGGAAAAAGGCAACACTGACCTAAGAACTTTTCATTTCCCTTTATTATCTTGCAGCTTTTGTTACCTTACTGAATGGGGAGCAAGCGCAGAGTGCAATTGAGAGGTTCCATCAGTTTTCTTTCCGAGGCAGAGAGTTAATAGTGCAGCTGCAGCCCACAGACGCTCTGTTGTGCATCACCAACCTGCCCATCTCTTTCACGTTGGAAGAGTTTGAAGAACTCGTCCGTGCGTATGGGAACATCGAGAGGTGCTTTTTGGTCTACAGTGAAGTTACTGGCCACTCCAAAGGCTATGGGTTTGTGGAGTACATGAAAAAGGACTTCGCTGCCAAGGCTAGACTGGAGCTATTGGGCAGGCAGATGGGAGCGTCCGCACTCTTTGCACAGTGGATGGATGTTAATCTATTGGCCTCGGAGCTCATCCATTCTAAGTGCCTTTGTATAGATAAACTGCCCAGTGACTACAGGGATTCAGAAGAGCTCTTGCAACTTTTCTCTGGTATCCATAAACCAGTGTTTTGCCAGGTATGTATTGCTAAGGGCTCATTTGAGATAGTTGAAAGCAGCTGTATGCCTCTCTAACGGATTCTGATCTAGTCTGTGGCGAGGACTCTAAGGAGACTTTGTCCTTCCCTCTGCTGACAAGCCAAACTCTGTTGCTTTGGTCATCGTGTCACAGCAAACCCATTGCTTACTCACCCTCCTTCTCGTTCCACCCAAGTTGTCCAGCCGTTTACCCATTAGCCCGTGTGCTCCAATTCATGTTCAGCACTTTCTCTGGGCCAGTGCTGGGCTGTGTCAGAAATGTGGAGAGTAGAACACTGTATCTTAGTGCTTCTCACTTCTGTAGATGAGTGACAAGAGAACAAATACTTGCAAATCCTCACCAAGAGTGGCACAGTGGAGGATAAAGGGTAAGGCAAGCACCTATTTGTGTCTGGATGGGGCCATGGTGGGGAGGCGTGTAGAGAAGAGCCTGGCCGTACTGGGAAGCATTTCCAAGCCCCGTATAGTAAATGCATCCTAATAACTGCACGGAACCCGGCACTGTGTGACTCCTCCCCCAGCGCAGCCAATCAATTCTTTCTGTTCCCTCCATTTCCTCCTTTTTGCCCTCTCCTTCACTTCCACATTTCCTGTCTTAATTCTTCCTCTCCTCCTTCCCTTTCTTCTTTTTTTTTTATCCAACGTTTGCCAAATTTGTATAGTATAATGAAAATGTTGGGAGTTGGACTGTGCGTGTGTCTGTGTTTAAATGGACAAAGTTGTAGGTGCTTGTTATGTCTAGCTTGGTGCTGTTAGTGTGCACGCATGGTGGGGAGCCTAAAGCCAGCCGGCTGATCGTGCATGCCCCCATAGAGTCACCATGCCCTGTGATGAGAATGCTCAGTATCCACTCTCAGAGTTCTTCAGGCATATGCTGTATTGTTAATTGTGATGGCGCACATTTTATAAGGGATCTCCTGAACGTAGGTCTTACCAGCTAACTCAGATTTCATGCTTTGTAATCAGCTTCTCTCCTGGTGGCTCCATTCTCCACTGGTGGCTGCCAGTCTGCTCTCTCCTTTCTATGAGCCCTTTCAGATTCTGCATGTGAGGAGATTATGCAACAGTATATCAGTATGCACATGTTAGACGAATGGCACCATCTTGCTTTTTCTTACATCGTTGCTCCTCCTGTCCCAGCAAAGTAATACAGAAACCATCTAAGACTTGTGTAAAATTAGACTATTCTGTGACAAACTTTTGACCCAATCTTTGCTCAGTAATTGGAGTGGATTGGCTTAACAATGTGCTGCTATTGTTGAATACTGAGTTATATTGTGCTGTCATCCTGTGCCTGTCCCTAATTCTCTGTAGCTTATCAGAGCCCTTTGGTGCACATGTCGGGGATAAGCCACACATCACACAGCAGATCTGAACTCTGACCCCGAGTCTGCAGGAGCCTTACAGATCACCTTGTCTAGCTGTGTAGTGGTAGAATCCGTGTGCTACTGTTCTGTTGAGTGACCCTTGGCTTCTGCTAAAATGCTACAGAACAACAGAAACCTCTTTAAATAGTTCTGGTGTTGAACTGGGTACCCTACTCTAACACTGCTGCTGTGGTTTTAAAGAGATTCGCCTGGAAGCCTTCAGGTGATATGCTTTAGATAAAAGTGAATGCTGAACATTAAAGGCACACACCTTTAATCCCAGTGCTTGGGAAGCAGAGCAGGCAGATCGGAGTTTGAGGACAGCTTGGTCTAGATAGAGTGAGTTCTAGGACAGCCAGGGCTTCACAGAGAAACCCTTTCTCAAAACAAGGCAAAACAACAAAACTACAAAAAGCCATCCCACTGAAACAAGAGCAGCAGTAGATTTAAAGCTTCAGAAATATATTTAGGCAACCTCTGCAGAGCTCCTTATCCAAGGGTCTGTCAAGTTCAGGCTCTCGTCCATGGTAAGTGAGCCCAGAAGGGACTAGAGACACTTGCTGTCAAGAAACCAAAGGGACTACTGGCTTTTAACAGCTCTGATCTGAAGGTCTGTTTTGAATTAGAGGAGAAATTGAGTTCTTAGAGGAATATTTGGAAGAGGTGGGTATTTTTCCTTTGCCCTCCACACTTGGAAAAAGCTTTATATAGGAAAACATATCTTAGGACAGTTTAAAGGAACAAAGATCTTGAAGAAGGAAAAATGGAAAATTGCCCTGGGTATAATAAGAAAGTAAAAGTTAAGCTTTTAAAATAAGAAAAAAAAATACTATGAAGGACTCAAAGGTGTTCGTTTATAATATTAGCAGGAGGTATAAAACCCATAGGGTTGTGTGTTTGTAACTTCTCAAAGACGCAAGCTTGATTTTTGTCACATCTGTCACCTTGGAGTGTAAGCATATTTATTAAGATCCTTTGGATGTGTCTGAGTCATGGAACTCTGTAATGGTGTATTCCTTCTTCCCTCCACTCTCTGTGGAAGATTATAAAGCACCAGGACCGTAGTGTCACCCTGTTCACACCTGCAAGTGGGCAATCGAAAGAAACCCATGTGCCCTAGCTCGTTTGCCCACCCACCCTCGCGGGTGACGGCTGTGTGCATCGAGCTAGGCATGCCTTTCCTAAATGAGATTTCTCTGGGCATCCTTGACCAGATCCCTGAGATTTGCTTAGCAGGCTCCTCCCACCTGTCTTCTTTTGGTAACACTATTTTTCATTGATATGTAGTCGAATAATCAGTGTTTCATTATCCATGAATCTGATAACTTGGTTTAAAGAAAGTTTTAATATAATTATATTTTCCTAGTAATTACTAATCCTGTATACACACACACACATATATGTATCCTAATAAGTAGGAGACTGGTGACTTTTAAGTTAGAAAATGAAATCATTGGGTTGAAATTCCTGTCTTTTGGGGAACGACTGTGTCTAAGCAAGTTGAGGAAGAAATTTAATATTGTCACCAGTACAGGCTGAAGGACTGGCTGTTGGATTTGGACATGATCACTGCAAACAAATGTTCATAAATCAATCTCAGAATCTCTTTTTAATGTGCTGTGTGGTATCAGCTTGCACAGGATGAAGGAGGTCACGGTGGCAGCTTTGCGGTGGTCGAGTATAGCACTGCGGAGCATGCCGAAGAGGTTCAGCAAGTGGCAGATGGCATTACCGTCAAGGGGAGCCAAGTCCAACTGTCCTTCTGTGCCCCAGGAGCACCAGGGCGAAGCACTCTAGCAGCGCTCATAGCGGCTCAGCGCGTGGTGAGTGGCTCGCTGCTTACACAATCAAATACCCTCTTGACCTTCCCAGTCTGTCTACTGCTAGTGGTCATTCCCTGGGCTGTTGTTTCCATTACACTGAAGACATTTATGTTTTTAAAATAAGTGTATTTTTTTTTTAAAGCTGGCCAAATGGTGTCTATAAAACTAAGCCAGAAGTTAAGGTAGAAGTAGAACTTATGAAATTGTATTTGTCTTTAGGTGTGTGTGTGTGTGTGTGTGTGTGTGTGTGTGTATTTAGTGTGTATGTCTGTGTATATGTGTAAGTCCAAGGCTGATGTAAAGATTCTCTCTCAGTCAGAGGCTCTCACTGAATCTAGAGCATACCCATTCCAGCTAGCCTAGCTAGCCAGCTTGTCCTGAGGCTCCCTGTCTGCTTCTCGAGTTCTGGGATTACAGGCGCCCATCACATCTGCCCAGCTTTTACATGTGTTCAAGGGACCCAAACTTCAGCCTTCACCCTGCAGGAGCTTTACCTTCCAAACCACTATCTAGAGTAATTTTGGGGGGAATTTCATTCACTCAGCAAGTATTTGAGTTACTCTAAGTTTTGAGTGCTATGCTTTTCCCCCAGAAATTGTCATAATATTGGTCCCTACAGTGTGTGGCGACCACAGTCCAAGCTAAGGAAGAAGTCAGTCTCTTTTCTGCTCACTTGGCACTGAACTGTCAACCTCTTTCCTGTGATTTTTCTCTAGCCTAAGGGTCCCTTAGATAGGGGCTAGGCCTCCACAGTTCTCACCTCAGCTCAGCGCATATTTTGATGGTTTAGTGAAGGAAGGGATACTCTTTGGAAAGAATCGGGGACAAGCATCACGATGCAGATGGCATTTGAGTGTGACATTAAGGAACGGGTGAGGTACTGACATGTTGATGGGGGTGGAGGGTAGGATTGCCAAATAAAAACAGATTTTTCATGAGACATGCTCCTATTAAAATCATTATCTGAACTCCAAGTTGCACTGAACATCTGTGTTCTTCATTAAATCTGGTGACCCCGAGGAGGCAGGCTGAGCAGTTACTGTAGGCTGAGCCGGAGTCTGAGCTGGGTTAACTTTTTAGAGAGGATAAGTGTTCAGGTTGAACCGCCTGTGTAGAGAGGTATGGCCAAGTGGCAGGTTGATGCTAGCGTATGGCAAGGACAGAGGACTTAGGTTGAATTTAGAGCCAGAGAGTTCATAGGTAAATAAATGAGGGGGTGGTTGGTGACAGCCAAGCCACAGGAAAGCCAGTCTCATGTAGGTTAGAGATGAGCAGGGAGAGAAAAGCAGAGTCTAGAAAGAAGGTGGGCGTGGGAGGCAGCTGCTACCCTTTGACTTTACCTCTGGTCCTTTCTCTCTGTTTCCAGAGTTTGTTCACTATCCGTTTCCTTCCCTCTGCTTAACCAGTGTCTTTGCTCAGTTGGAATTGCTGAGTTTACAATTCTGAACGGATCCAGTCACTGATTCCTGAAGCCAGGACACTGTGTCATCATGGATATGAAATGGACAGCTGGGTGGCTCGGTGACCCTGCAGATGAGTGGCATATAGCTTTGCTGACTCCCATGAGTCTTCAACTTGTCCCACACCTGTTGTTTCCCGCTTCCTCCAATTTTCTAAGACCTGTACTTGTGGTGGCGCATGCCTTTAATCCCAGCACTCCGGAGGCAGATCTCTGAGTTCAAGGCCATCCCGCTCTATAGAGCGAGTTCCAGGACAGCCAGAGCTACTGAGAAACCCTGTCCCAAAAAAACACAAACAGGGAAAAAGCAACCTCTTTCGGTCACTCTTTCGGTCAGATGACCGTGGTTCCTATGAAGACCAGGTAGCTGTTAGGTCCAGCCATCCACCCTTCCCATCACCGCTTGCTTCCTTCTCACTGTAGCATGAACAAGCACACACTTAATGCCCAAGATGTACATGGTCAGAGATGTAAAGACTACCCCTCCCCTGTTCACAAGAAAGGCTATGCCTCTTCTTGGCCATGTTGGGCTTCTGACAGTTTCCAGCTGAGGGCTCTTGGTCCCCTGCTTTCTGCCTGGTTGTACTTGTTTAACAAATATCTTGTCTTTTTCTTGGATATCTTCCTTCACAACGACTGTCTCTTTACCAGGGCCCATTGTCACCAATTACTAATCTTCCGTTTCCCCTCAGCCCTAGTGCAGGATAGAGCCCATCTTCAAGTAAGCTGCTGTCATGAAGGGATTTCTCTGTGTATATAGGTGTTCATATGTGAGCATGTGTGTGGAGGTTAGATTGACAGCATCTGTCTTCCTCGATCCTCAGCCATTCTCCACCTTATTTTTGGAGACAGGGTCTCCCAGTGAAGCTGGGCTGCTTGGCCAGCAAGCCCTGTGGTACCCTGTGTTCTAAAATTTGAATTAAAACAAAACAAAACAAAAAAAGCAAGGAGGCGCTAAATTTTTTAAAGCGTTTCTGTAACAATTGAGATAAGGTGTGACTTGTGCTGAGTTAACTGATACCGTGTCTTATTTTGCTTTCATGATGAATACCATGACCAAAAGCAGACTTGGGGAGGGAAGGTTTCTTGGCTTACTGCTTACAGTCTGTCAGTGAGGGAAGTGGGGGGTGGGGGACAAGGCAGGAGCTGAGGCAGAAGCCATGAGGGGTGCTGCTCACTATGCCCTCCATGGCTTGCTCATCCTGTTCCCTTATACACACAGGGCCACCTGCCCAGAGGGCTGGGCCCTCCCACATAAACCACTAATCAAGAAAGCGCCTGCAGATTGCCTACAAGCCTATAAGGTGGAGGTGTCTTCTTACTTGAGCTGCTTTTTCTCAGAGGACTCCAGATTGTATGGAGCCGACAGAAAAACTAACACACAGATGGGAAATCACTGATGGATTTGTTTATGGAAGCCATCCTTCTAATTAAAATTCTTTAGTGTAGGAAAAATAATTGGTTTCATTATGACATTTTCTTATGTGTGTCATTGTGTTTTGATCATCGTCCACATCTGTTCATATCCCCCCATCATGGGTCCCCCACATAGTGTACACACACACACACACACACACACACACACACACACACACACCGCTTTCCTTTCTTCCATCCATCCATCCATCCATCCATCCATCCGTCCATGTATGTATGTTGTCTCATCTAGATGCCCCTTATGGAAGAAGACAGGCAGTGTTTTTCTTTTTTTTGTCCTTTTTCTCCTTTTTGCCCACATCAGTTCCTCCTCCCCTGGTCCTCCTCCTGTCTCATTTCTCATTTTTTCTATAACCCTAGTTGGTCACAGCCTTTCCCAGAGTCACTATTTGATTTAATAATATTTTTATTTGACACGCTTTTAGAGATGTTCTCAGAAGTGGTGGGCACTTCATTTTTTCTTTTCTTTTTTTTTTTAAACAATCCCTACTTAATTTTGGAACTGAGACAACACTGACCTCACTGTCACTGGATGGTTTTAGCACCTTCTCTCTTTCTCTATTTCAAGATCAATTTGTGTGATGTAAGTCCGTCTGCTCTCTGGGAAGCTGAGTGTCTCTGTGAGGCCAGGTGGGCCATCCATCAGAGGGAGCCATTGATTGCCTCTGAGCTCCATCTATGGGCATTTGGTTTATTCCTCCTCTTTCTCTGCTACATTTGACTTGTCACACCTTCCATCTAGTTTCTCAGCATCTGATTTGTACAGATTTATAGGCTCTTAGCGATGTAAGACGCCGTACACTTTCCTCTTCATTCTGTGTGATTGCAGTATGTTTTGTCTTCATCAGCCTTAGGAAAGTGTTCTAGTTTGTCTTTCTAAAATACCAACTTTTGCTTTTCTCACTGCGTCTAAATTTTCTTTTGCTTACTTCTGCCTTTATCTTTATAATTTCCTTATTTCTGCTTAGCATTTACTTCTTCCCTCTGTTTTTGTTGATAGGGGAGGTGGTAAGTTAATTTTTTTCTTTTTTTTTTTTTTTTTGCTATCTTTATTGCTGTCAATGCCTAACTCTTATTTTCCGAATGTTTTGTTTTTGTTTGCTTGTTTGTATTTTGTGCTGGGAATTGAACTCAGGGTCTTATATATGATAGGTACTCTGCCACTGAGTTACATCCCAAGCCCCTAGTTTTGTTTTTGGTTTTTTTTTTTTGTTTTTTTTTTTCTTATTTTATGGTAAGTATATGTATAGGCTTGTATGATAGTGTAGGAGGCCCAGTATTTGGGGAGGCTGAAGCAGGAGAATTGCCTTGAGTGCTAGGCCACCCTTGGCTACATAGTGAATTCCAGACAGGCCAGAGCTATGTAATAAGACTTCTTAAGAAAAATAATGAATAAATAATAAAGGGAAATATATTTACAGGTTTCCTTCTGACAAATACTGTATTCATATGTCATAAATCTTGAGGTGTGAATGTTTTGATTTTTATGATTTTTTTAAAAGATTATTTTACTTTATACATAGGAAGGTTTGGCTCTCAAATATGCCATTAGGGTGGGAATCAAACCCTGATCCTCTGGAAGGGCAGCTAGAGCTCTTAACCACTGAGCCATGTCTCCAGCCCTGTATTTGTTTGCTTTTTATGGTTTGTACACAAAGAATCTATTTAATTGTGACATTTTCATATGTTCTTATTTGCCCCCATGAGCCTCTACCTTTATATTGGTTTTTCTTCCTTCCCCAAATAGTTACCTTCTGAGGGGTGTGCCTGTGTGTGTGTGTGTGTGTGTCTGTGTGTGTGTGTGTCTGTGTGTGTGTGTGAGACTCTGTGTGTGACTGTGTATGTGTGACACTCTGTGTCTGTGACTCTGTGTGTCTCTGTGTATGTCTATGTGTGACTGCGTGTGTGTCTCTGTCTCTGTGTGTCTGTGTCTCTCTCTTTCTCTGTGTCCATATATTACTTTGTCCTCTCGTTTCTTTCCCCACTCTTTAGAACTTCCTCTCTCTCATAGTCCCCATTTTACTTTCATGCCAAATACACATTTTAAGTATACATACATATTTCAGTCTTAATTCTGAATGAGAGAAATATGGGCTATTTGTCT